GTTGGAGTTTTCTTGATGCAGTCGAAAGGTGGGATCCGGCAACGCGTCAATGGAGTTCGATATGCCCTATGTCCATACAAAGGTCTACAGTCGGTGTGGCTGTGTTAAATGATAAGTAAGTCTACAGACAAATTATCACATTTATATATAATATCCGTTTTCAGCCGTTTTCACATAAATTTTAGTGTGTTTTCATGTTTTATCGATTTAAAAAGATTTAATATTGAATTTTTATAATGATTTTAATGCAATTTTTTAATCTTTTAGATTATATGCTGTAGGAGGAAGAGATATCAGTTCCTGCTTAAATACTGTAGAATGCTATGATCCGCATACAAATAAGTGGACACCATGTGCGCCTATGTCGAAGAGGCGGGGCGGTGTAGGTGTAGGAGTAGTAAACGGTTGTCTTTATGCACTCGGTGGTCACGATGCTCCAGCTAGTAATCCGAATGCTAGTAGATTCGACTGTGTAGAAAGGTGAAGCTACTATTATGTTACATATTAAAATTTTCAAGTTGTGTGTAATGCAATGTAACAATATAGATATGATCCTAAAACTGATACATGGACTATGGTTGCGCCAATGAGTGTTCCTCGAGATGCAGTCGGTGTGTGCGTATTAGGTGATCGACTTATGGCCATAGGAGGATACGACGGTCAGCAATATCTCACACTAGTGGAAGCCTATGATCCACATCTCAACGAATGGGAACCTGTGAGTGTATAAACTATTCCTGTAATTGGATATAATACAAAAATAATTTTTAAATGTATTTTGTAATAATTTTATGTTTGAAGGTTGCTCCTCTTAAGGCTGGCCGTGCAGGACCCTGTGTTGTTGTAAAAAATTTAACTAATACCATATAGATCATTTTTACTAAACAATCAGTAATTCTTGCTATTATGTGATTTATATTTGTAACTATATGTGATTTTAAGTGTTTCAGAAATATAACAGAATTTGCTCTCTTGTGATATCATATGCGTGTTAATTAATCAAACTGTCATTTTTCTGAAACAATTTTAAATAATTTCATATTTAAATAAGTATTATATTTCTTCTTAGCATATAGTAACTTTTATAGGATTTTTACACAATTTCATACTGTACTAAGGAAATTCCAATTATTGTAATCTAATCAAACTATATATTTAGCATTTATTTGTACATAATATTTCGATTTTATATAAATTTTCAATGTAGCGAATAATTTTGTTATTGACAATGTGTGGTAATTTTTTTGTATCCATCATATTAATCTAAATTATAAGTACAAACATTTTCAATAAAATATATAAATCTAAACACGTTTTCTTTCATAAAAGTAACATTTTTCGTAAATGTCAATATTTTTCTGTATAATAATAATAATCATATAATAAATTGTAAAACCATTTTTTTAGAAATAAGTAATATAAATCAAGAATGCTAGTGAGAAATTTGAAAAAATAAATATATTTCAGATACAAATATTAAGTAATTACAATATTTATGCCAAATTATACTGATACTTTAACTTGTAAAAATCATAATTTAATAAACTTAAAAAAACTGATAGAAGAATATACATATATAAGAACAAATTTATTTTTCTCATCAAGATAAATGTTTTTATTTACATATATGATATATGTTTCTATATTTGACGATTATTATCTCTTGAAATAAATAAAATTATATCAATTAATTAAAAGAAAACATGACATTATTCCATATGTTTACATTACAATTGTTTAATTTTTTTCTTAACAAGCCGGAAAAGTCCTGAAACAATGATAACAACAAAATTACATCTTTCACAAAATCAGAAACAAAAATTGTAAAGTCAAAAAATATAAAAGCTATGCATGTTTTCTCTTTTCAAAAAGAATCTTACACTAACTTGTAAATGTGAAGATAAAATGTACTTTAGTTTACCGTGGAAAATCCGACGCTGGCTCTGCAAACTTGTGCCTAACCATAAACGTAGCAACAGCTTCCGCTACCTTATCCGGAACATCTTCATGAACAGCATGCCCACAAGCGGGCAATACTTGCATTTGGAATTTACCTATTTTTATGAAAAAAATAAGTAATTATTTTATTGAAAAATATTTAAAACTTGTGTCACATTAGCATATACTAATGACAGCACTGAAAATTATATACCTTGCATTTGTCCTACAGTGAGTTCACGATCTAATCTATCAACTCCTGCTAACAACAACATTTTCGGTGTAGGAACATTCAAGAATGCTGTCGATAATCCCTTAAACCAGCCAAACCAATGTTGCTCCGTTTTTGCCAAATCTATTCTCCAGACATATTTTCTGTTAGTAGTAATAGCAGAAGACGCAGGCGGTGGCATATTGGATGACTCTTCCTCTTGGATAATATCATCTCGCGATATAATTGGTTCTGGATTAGATTCACACTTGTTGTATTGGGTTGGCAATGAATCAATATCATGAGTTGCTAATTTGCTAGTTTCAATGCTGAAATAGCACGTATTGTATGATTCGATTTATTTTAATATCAGTATAAAAATATTACAAAAAACCTAAGATCTTTAAGAACTCACTAACTTCTTTATCTGCCCAGGAACGGAAACCTTTGCCGATTGTATATTCCGAATTTGTCCGCTACGAA